CTGGCCCTTTAACCCTGTTTCCCATGATGCACCGCTGCACGGTTCACATGTGGGTGAGTTGTCAGAAAGAAAACTAGCAAAGATGCAGAACGGCAATGTGAACGGAGAAGAGGATGAAGAGTATCAGCTCTTCCTCTCTCAACACAGTCCCGCTTTAAAGGCGGCGAGAATCCCTCCGCTTTATTGGAAGAGTCTGCATTTAAAACTGGCCAGTGAGGTAAATACACAGCCATCACTGCTGTGCCAGTTTGACAGTGTCTTCCTTTTGTGACAATTGAAATATTAATATGTAAAAAAAATGTCTTTAAATAATAGTCAGCAGTCTTCAAAATACAAGACTTACTGTTCTATGTATAAAACCAGGTACTCCAGTGTTGATTGAACTAGTATGGACAGGTACATTTATCGACTCGTTTTCTCTTTTAGGTATTTGATGCTGGCGAGGTGTTTGGGATCATGCAGGTGGAAGAAGAGGATGAGGATGAAGAGAATGAACGGAGAGTCAATCCTGGAGATGAGGTGGCTTGTAAAGTGATTGTGACCAGAGAGAGTGGCCTGCAGGCTGCTGATCCTACCAGGTGAGGGCAGCAGTGAGCCATTAGTCAGGCAGTCGAATGTTCTTATAATAAGCATTTTAGTAGGTTTGTAATTATAAAAGGGTAAAGGAAAAATATCTGATATATATAGGTTTTCTGACGTATGCTGGGGAAGTTTTTGGGTTACTAAAGAGGAAGGGCAAGGTACATTGAACATCCTTACTGGGGACTGCAGCTGGAGAGGAAACACATGACCGGAATCCTCTGGTGGTCTAGGTGTCTTATGTCAGATGGGTTTTTACCACATTGATGACAATTCAGTTTCATTATTGGGTGAATGATGCACAGTGTGCAATGGATGGAAGGGAAAAGTACAAATACGTTCACAAATAACCGTAATAAACAGCCACTACACATAGCACATGGCTCATTTGGCACATAGCATTCTGTGGTATTGCCATGGCATATATATATATATATA